CACCAGCCAAATCTAACACACCTCTTTCGTAAGGTTACTACCCGCAGGTTACACGAGTTTTTGGATTGTGGAGCGACTGAGTCGTAGCTATTCCGCCCATAACAATATATATAATTTTTTATTCATTAGCTGGAGCTGAGAGGAGTGAAGTGTAAGTCTTTCAAACCTTACTCTACTTAATTTGCGGAATGGCTGCTCATGCTTCACTCTGACTCAAATTTAAAATCAATAATCAGAATCAAACATAAATTAGATTGGGCACCTAATCTTGAGTTAAAATTTAATAGCTAAATTAATCAAATATATAACAACTTTTAATAAAAATAGTTTGACATACTCTATTAAATTTTAGAAATGTTCGGTGTTGTGACTTGGGAAAGCTTTTCTATTCAATGCTGATTTAACGCAATGCTAAAGCAAAGTTTACAAAATATTAGAGCAAATAGAATATTATTTGAACATATCAAATATATGATCCTGACAAGATATCATATAAAGACTTTTAACTTAAAATGGCTATGTATAAAACAGATTCTATCTGACGCAAAAGAGGTTTTGACTCTGATTTCTGCGATCTAGCTGGATAACATCAAGTTGTTGAACATTCCGCTTGAGATCTTAAGAAAACTCAATTTTTGGAAGTTAAATCATTCCTAATCTTTATTGTATAACTTATTAAACGTGTATGAAACTAATTCATTAGTATATCGAAAATGCGTGCCAGGTTTGTAGTGCAGCAAAAACTTTAAAGTTCATTAATGTTAGGGTTAGCGTTTATAATAATGTTAGAAGTTATGTGTTTATATGGTAAAATTGCTTAAGGAAAACTTTTTGTTAGAGCACTAAGGCTAGAGTTCCAATCCGGATCAATCCGTCATCTGTTTATCTGATATGCTATATCTGGATATCCATTTTATTATAACGCTTTGCAAAAAGATGTAGCTACATGAATTTTAATAATGATTAAGGAAAATTTCTGAGATTTTAAACTATATGCTGTTTTATATTTTTGATCGGTTACCTTTATATTTCTTCGAAATCGATGAAATTCTTAAAATCAATAGAATCTCTGATTCTCATATGGCATCGTGATCTACAGAGGCTACATCTTTTTGCAAAGAGCAATAATTCGGATATCCAAACGGATTAACCAAATCATCTGACCAGAATCACATGAGTTTGATACCATTTGACTCGTCTTGATGAGACAAATCGAATAGCACCAAAATTATGCACTAATAATTACTAATCATAATAAAATTATATATAATGCATGTTTGTTAATCAAATATCCTATATTTACTTTGTTCAATGATTCATTGAAATTAAATTCATCTCGGAAGTAGCTAATCATTGCTTTGTACTTATTCTGTACTTCAAGCAATACTTCAGATAACACATTAATATAGGCCTTTGGTTCCTAAATAGTTTATCAGTGATTAAACTGTCAAGGTGAAAATGAAATTATCGTTCAACATACTAATTTAGTATTGGTATTGAGAGGAATAATCTTCTCAAAAGATATACAGACTTCATTTTCAGCACGAAATTCAGATCGTGACTTAAAGGTCAAAATTTTCTTTAGCTATAACCGCATATCACATAACACCATAACAGAGAAGTAAAAAATATATATATATAACGAACATACCTTGATTTATTGTAATTAAGCAAAATAATCATATTACAATTTCAGATAAAGACGTGGTTGCTTTAAATAAGCATCAATAAGAAGACTTTCTAATGAAATAACTAGTTTCAGAAGTTCCGTCTTATCTGCAGCTATAATAAATTCTAAAATATTAATGCTACCTAACAAACTGTAGTAAAGACTTCACGAGTATAAATATAGCCGTAAAATTAATATTGATTTATTTTTTGTAAATTAAATTTAATTCAAAAAGTCTTGCCAGAAATAATGCTTGACTTACTCAAGAATTAAATGAAAGATTTCCAGAGAAATATCTTCTTTATAAAGAATAATGATCCAATCTGAGTTTTGTAAATCTTATGACTGGACAGTGCCATTTTAAAATAACCGCATCGATCTCTTAAAATCGATGAATGGCCTGCAATTATGTGCACGTCAATATCAACACAACATTGATTTTGAATAATAGACTTCTCAATTGATGGAAGACCATTCTTATTCACTACTTGATTATTATAGGATGTAAAAAGTGTGGAATCATTGAAATTCTATAATCCGAGAGTGAATATTTTTATGGCAGGATTTCAATTTTCATACCGTATTTGCGTGTAATAACGCACATGTGCGTTATTTCGAAATTGTACTTTTTTTTAAAAATCGCCTATTTACTCAAAATAACGCACATGTGCGCCCGAAATAACGCACTCCCTAAGAGTTTGCACGATAAATATAAGTATAGCGCACATGTCTATTAAATTATTGACAACATTGATCCGAAATATCGCACATGTGCGTCCTGAAATAACGCACAGGTGTGCGTAGAGTTTGGAGCCGATTTTATTTTTCATATGTTAAACCCGGTTTTAACCGGTTTTAACATATGAAAAATAAAACCGGTTCCAAACTCTAGGTGTGCGTTATTATGCATCTGTATTACTGCACTACAACTCTGACGTCAAAAAGTTTTAATGTTGATTACTTTGCAAACTTTCATTTCAATTATATTTAAATTATACTACAGTCAGGCATATTACCAAAAATGGAAATCGATTCTAGATCGTTCCATTGAAATTTGATTGGCTGCTTTTTGCTA